TCAGCGCATTTGAGAGAAACAGTCCATGGCCTACTTTGGTAATTGGATTTCTAATAAAGATTTTATTATATAAAACCAGTTTAAGACCTCTCAGCCAATGGCAATTCAAATGTATTAATGCAGTCCTTACCTGCACAAACAGAGCATGTGCTATAAATGGTAATTTCCTCAGTGTACGACCACTTAATCCTCGACTTTTCCTATAAAATGAAATGTTGCATTTTGAACAATTTTAAGAATGGATAGAAGTAAGAAACAGATGATATTTATCAATTCAAGTTATAAATAAAAAAAGAAATGTGTTAAAGATAGCTTGCCAGGCAAGGTAACATACACCCACTACCATCTGTCAGAAATAATCAAAAGTCAAGGAAAAAACCTCAAAAACAGTTCATTAAGGTCTCATTGACGCACACACAGTGTCAATAACTCTTAAACCGTTCATCCAATTATTAACAATTTCGAACTCGACTGAGATCTCATCAATATATACATGCATACCAAGATTCATAAAATGAAATGTTGCATTTTGAACAATTTTAAGAATGGATAGAAGTAAGAAACAGATGATATTTATCAATTCAAGTTATAAATAAAAAAAGAAATGTGTTAAAGATAGCTTGCCAGGCAAGGTAACATACACCCACTACCATCTGTCAGAAATAATCAAAAGTCAAGGAAAAAACCTCAAAAACAGTTCATTAAGGTCTCATTGACGCACACACAGTGTCAATAACTCTTAAACCGTTCATCCAATTATTAACAATTTCGAACTCGACTGAGATCTCATCAATATATACATGCATACCAAGATTCATCAAGATCAGATAAAAACTGTAGTCTTTATCATGCCTACAAGTCAAATTTGACACCTACAATATACATATGCATACCTAGGCCAGTGATTTCTTTGAGACCTGTCTCAATACACCCTTACACCAAGTTTCATCAAGATTGGATAAAAACTGTAATCTCTTTCGTGCGTACAAGTCAAATTTGTTGCGTTTTTACTAAGTCAAGGGCAATAATTCTGGAACCATTCATCTGATTGTTACCCATTTTGTACCAAGATCTCATCAATATATACATGCATACCATGTTTCATTCTGATCCGGTTAAAAACTTTAGTCTCTATTGTGCCTACGAGCTAATTTTAGAGTTTAATTAATTAGATTTCTACACTTTTCGCCTTTACTTCAGCC